ATATCAGCATTCTCGCTTAAAAACATATTTCGTAAGCTCCATAGTCCATACAATGACCTAGTCTTTAAATACAATCTATCATTAAGTCGAATGCTGACTGACTTTTTCACTAATGATTGATAGGCCATTATTTACACACTGAGTTGTCGACGGATTTTCCTTTTTCCTCCGAACATGACAAGGAGCACACAGCGGTTGTGACCGGTCGGCATGGAATGCTCACTCATTCGAGGCATCTGATCCAACCTCTGATGTTTTGGAGGTCCGTGTTTGCTCAGCTCCAATTTTTATTGTTAAATGAACTTTTGAGCTTGAAGCTGATCATTATCTCCATATAATACTGCAAAGAACATTTATTCCGATTAAGAATGTATTTTTTTTATCACAAACAAGTGCGAATATCTTTATTGTGTACCTTAACTCTGCTGCGCTTTTAGGGGACGAAAATGATTTCAGAACATTATAATTAGAGGAAAAGTAGCAATCTTTTATGAGTACAACTAATTGGGACTGATGTATTACGCAATCTATTTAGATAAGGAAGACTTTTATTGTTATGCTGTATCTGCAGATCATTATTACAACAAACATGAATAAAAAGTTATTAATGGAAGTTTGTTTTATTTATACTCTCTCTCTCTCTCTCTCTCTCTCTCTCTCTCTCTCTCTCTCTCTCTCTCATGTAAAGACGGGTTACGTATCTTTGTTAAGTCTGATATTTTAAATAATTAAGAATTTTTCAAGAAAAGGGTAAAATTAGGAAAAAAGTATTCCTTTCAAGAAAATGATGGACAATGTTATATTTATATGCTAGACATGTTGCTCTATAACGACGCAGAATAAAAAATAGCTAGGTTCGTGACCAATAACTACAACACCACCAGTAGTGTCACAACGATGATTGACAGGCTAGAATTGGAAAGTCTACAACAACGCAGAATTAAAGCAAAGGCTATTATGATGTACCGTGTTGTCCATTCCCTTGTTGCCATAGACCTGCCTCCTCAATTCAGCCAAACAGGAGCAGCCACACGGGGACACCAACAGCGGTACAGGATCCCATTCTGCCGTACCAACGTCTACAAGGAATCGTTCTTTCCTACTACCATCAGGATATGGAACCAGCTGCCAGAAGACACCATCACGGCTCTGTCCCTGGAGTCCTTTAAGACCAGGATTCAGGGATATAAAGCACCATAAAAGAAGCAGGACATGTTTTTATCAGTTTTTAAAATTGTAAATAGATGCGTGGACTCCCCCTCACGTACACGTTTTTAATCAAAGTGAGAAAATGCCGCAACAGCGGCCCTTCACTTCATAGGAAGAAGAAGAAAACAGTAGATATCAATAAATCTCATAAAAATAGTCTTTCCCTTAAAACCAAAGGCAAGATGTACACCACTTTAATGAAAACACAAATATACGAATTAGCTTTTCTCTAGAAAGTGAATGATTGACTGATTGATTGGTTGATTGTATGTTGTTTATATAACGTCCCTCTCGGGATTTTTCCTTCATATTGAGACGCTAGGAAGTAAATGAAATACAAGCAGAAATGTTTGCCTGTCATTCATAAAACTAATCAATGTCATGTATTAACATTTTATCTCGCCGTAATTACATTATGGATATCTTTTCAGTACAAGTACATCTATAAAATATGCTGAGATAGATTCACCTGAGATGTCAATGCCTGATAATTATAATTAAAGTCTTTAAATTTTAATTAAAGTTACAATTGGTGAAAGTTACCGAATAGCTTGCCTGAAATCAACTGTGATTGAACATAGCCGATACCACAATTGCATTCTAAACACATTTTCTACACCGGTTTTTATTCTATTTACACGGATACTTTTGGTATAGTTTTGCTGGTAGTTGACATGACTGTGTTTTCTTTATATTGACCTAAAAAGTTAGTGTTTTCAAAAATGTTTTGAAATTTGCTTAGATATGAGTTATTGAATGAATGTGAGTTATCAGGAAAGAATGTTGCATGTGAAGTTGGAAGTTAAATGACGTCATTAATTCCAATTTTTAATTAAAAAAAAAACCAACAACGCAAAATGACATTACAGGAATTATTTCATTAAGAAAATAGAGTTAACAAACGTTGTCCACTTCAATTTATGATTATGCTTAACAGCTTTATGATTAACAGTTCTAATTTTATTTTTATAGGACTAGATTTGTATTGAAACTATACTCTTCTTAATCTTTTCACAACCTTTTTTTTGTCCTTCCCTAAAAAGAAAAATAATCAGTTATCGCACTTATTATTTTTTAATTGAGCACACTCAAGGTTTTAATTGTGCTTTAAAAAAACACAAATCTTAATTTCTCATGAAAATTTCATTTAAGGCCAGATTTGATTTGAAGCAGTACATTTTTCTTTTTTACAAAAAAAAAAAAAGAATACTAAAATAACTCTTGCATCTCTTTCCTTAAAAAATAGTTCACACAACTGCTATTATCGTAAGTGAGCGCAATGTGATAATTACCTGTCCACGACTATATCAAAACACTATTATATATTAGATTCCTTTTGTGTATTTTTCATTTGCGTGTGTAAGCTTCCATCTTGAGGAATCCTTGTAATAGTCAATTTTTGTATGAAGCCAACAACATTTCTTATTAATTTGGAAGCAAAATCTAAAATTCTCAGAATTTCTTAGAACCCAATATCAGTTTTGTCGCAACTGCAGCTATTTTGGATATTTTTGATCAGATATTACCGATAAACGTTTTGAAAATAAAGCTAGCTTGAATCATATTTTTGTAATTAAAACGATTAAGTTTAGCCGCATAGATTTTAATTTTGCATTAAACATTTCATAATTATAAGATTTAAGATGACTATAAAGATGCAAGAACCAATAAGGATTGTTGCATGAAGATAGAATTTTTAATATTGTATGAAGTTTAGAATTTCTTAATATGTTAGAAGTTATTGTTCACATCATTTACAACCAAAATAAGTACAAACCTGTTATCCATAATTCTATTGTATAATCTGCCCTTGTATACCATATACATGGAAAGACACTTAAATATCAATATATGTATGCATTACTTTTTCCAGCAAAAGCAGAATTGGAGAAAAATCCATTAGAAATTAAATTAATCCCGTTTCTTTTGATACACTGTAACATTTGTCAAATCGATACTCTTTATAATTATTTTATATTATTAATTTGTAAAGGCTTTTTGCCTTCTTGAGCCCCTTACTGGAGAAATCAGACCCTAATTTTTGATATTAAATGAAAGATCGTCACATTCTGCACAATTTTTCTTCTATGAAGGATATGGAGATAACAGATAGTATTCAAAATCATAGTCTATAAATTAATACAAAATAGGAGCAGAGCAAACTATGGGCCTCCAAAACATCAGAGGTGTGATCAGGTGCCATGGAGGAGTGAGCATCCCCTCCCGCTGTTTGCTTCTTGTCATGATCGGGCAATAAAGGAAAAATCCGACTTCAATTCAGTGCATAAATAATGTACTAACAATTAGCATGAAAAACTTCAGTCAGCATTTGACTCAATGATAAATTGTATTTGATGATAACGTCATCGTATCGACCACAGAACTTACGAAATGATGACTTTAAACGAGATTGCTGATATTCTTGTTTCATCAACTCGTTTGTCAATAACTTACCTCGTTTTAGAAATTGTTCATACGTAGAGCATCCTCTTGCGTATCGAAACAACTGAGATATATAAACTCATGCAGGTGATGAAGGTATATTGCTGCATAAGTAAGTGAAGTTGACGATAGAAAAGTTAAAGTCATCACGTTTATCATAGAGCTTGGTTGTTAGATTACCATTAATGTCTCTTTCAAGTAAAATATCCAAGTATGAAACATATGTGTCACGTATGGACATAGGAATGGAAATTACTTGTTAATTGACAATACGTCGTCGGTGTTTCTAAATGTCGAGCTGAAGGTCACAGCAAGTGTTTTCTTCTTTTCACGCATAATATTTTGCACAAATTCTGCTAAATATGAATACGAAAAAGTTCTGCTAATAACGGAACGCAATTGGTACATAAGGAAATTCCAATAGATTATTGGAAGACCTGGCCTCTTTATGTTTTAAAAATTATTACAAGGTAAAAAGATACATAAGAAAAGCTGTTAAATTTTGTAATAAGTTTCTGAGGCATTTTTGAGCGTAACAGATCTTCGGCGCCTTTCGCGCTAGAGAGCTCGAGATTTCGGAGTCTAAATGCAAATCAACAAACCTTTCCCTACTTTCACCTTAATTCTTTTAATTCTTGACTCAATATCATTCCTGAAAATTTCATGAAAATCTATTTAGCTGTTTTCGATACCTCGAGCGCGAAAAATCGGTAAGAAATAAAAATGAAAAATAAATACTGGTAGTGGGAAAGAAACTTTAGAATAACAAGAAGGTCTTCCACTGAAGACAGAATATCTTAATACCAATAGGAAACATAATAGAAAATAGTAGGGTCTTCAGACAGAAGTTGGAAGACCTTAAAAGTAGTGGAAAAGAAACCTAAAATAACAGTTTGCACTTCCACTGTAGAAGACCTAAACAATCTTAACCAATATTCAGTAGAAATCTTCCGTTGGAAATGATAGACTTTAATTAAACAAATACAACGACTATTACTAGTTATTTACACGTGGGAAAATATCATTGATAAAAATAAAATTTGGACTCTCAATCTGCAAATAGATACAAATGAAAATACATAAAAGTAAAAGTTTTGAAATGAAGATCGAATTTTTAAAACCCGAAGAAATTAGTACAAAATAAAAATGCTCAGAGTGATTGAGACTTAAAAATACTATCATTTAAAGCTTGTTTAGATTGCCTTCCTACATCCTTTTTTTATTTATTAAGAACATTAACATGTCAAAGCATCCACGTTCAATATTTATGGTCATGTTGTAGAAGACGTTCCCATATAGTTAGTCGCCAATCATACAATTAAAAATGTCAAATGAGTTAGTCTGCAAGGTGTGGAATAATTTTAATATTCTTAAAAAAGCATATTCATGTATAATAATTTTAAAAGATTTACATACAACTATTAAATGATTTTTTTTTACAATATAATCTTTGGTATTTCTAAACGTCAATTTTCAAAATCATTAAGTATGTAAAAAATTAAAACACATAAGGTCGGAAGATTTACAAGTGTATCCTATACACTATTTGCATGTTACACCAGCATCGTCAGAGTGACGACAGTTTTGATACCCGTATTCTCCGTACGGACAATCAAAGAAAGATGACTCCCTATATGCACAGTTGACATTACTCATCCAAATAGGTCCCGATCCTTGTCCAAAATAGCCATTACTACGAGCATAAGAATTTCTAAAAATTGAACAATTAAAAATATTGATCATATAAAAAAAGCCATTTGTTAATTATTTGTAACAGCAAAAAAAAAAAAAAAATTATTAATTACTTACCCTGTATATCCAAGACTTCTGCACAAAGCACGTGCGTCAGAAGAATCCCAGCCGTAATCGCACACAGTGCCCCATTCTCCTTTGATAAACACCTCTACACGTCCTTCGTTGCTTGATTCTCCATTGACAAGTCTAATAAATCCTTAATATAAATAATTTATATTTAAACAGCTTTATTTTATATACTGAATAAATTTAAAATTAAATTAAAAGATTTAGGACAGATGATACAAACAAAAATGGATGTCTGGATTGGTTTTTATTTTTGGACTTTAGTTAATTTTATTGAAAATGATGCAAATGATAAATTTCTAGGAAATTGTAAACCTTTTGTGACGTTCAAATTTCTACCCTTCTAAAACCATCCCTATTATTCTCTACAAATAATTTCACTTCATATTCTATTTTGTGCAACTTTGAATAAAAAAATAAAAACTACGCGGTGAAACCTTTTAATTTTATTAATCAAAGCATGACCCAAGTTGTTATTTTCAAATTTTTTGACAAAAGTTTGTATTATCTGTTCTTAAAAGATAAAAACATCTGTTGTTTGCAGAACGAAGGACGTGAGAGTAAAAATGTTGCAGAGGATAAAGAATTTTCAAGATAATTATGATTTCGTGAAAACAAATAATAGCATTATTTAAAAGTCTTCTCAAAACCACTGTGCTTGAAAATATGAAACTTATCTGAAAGCATCCTCAGCTAGAGTAGATTCAACATTTTCTAAATCATGACCCCCAAGGCTAGGGTCGGGCCATAAATCTTTAAAAATCTTCTCAAGAACAGAAAAGCCATAATTGGTCATATTTATTTGGATGCATCCTCAGCTAGTGTAGATTCAAGTTTGCTCAAATCATGACCCGGGTGTTGGGTGAGATCACAATGGGTGATCAAAGTTTTACAAATACAAGCAGAGGGAAAACCTTTAAAAAAAATTCTTCTTAAGAACAGCAATGCCTTGATTGGTCATATTTATGAAAGCATCCGCAGGTAGCATATTCAAGAATGTTTAAATAATGACCCTCGGGGGTAGGGTGGGGCCACGATATGCTGTCAAACTTTTACATAGGAATACATCCTTGAAAATCTTCTCAAGAACAGCAAAGGCATGCTTCATCACATTTATATGTAATCATCCTCAAGTAGTTTAAATTCAAGTTTTTTAATACATGACCCTTGGGGGTACAGTCAAGCATTATCAAATATATTTATCGAATATGATGATAGAATTTATGACAGTTTACAAAATAGATAATTTATGACCAGTATAAAAACATTTCACTGCCCAAAATAACTCTGTGGAGAGGCTGCATGTAAAAATAGGAATCTAAAATTAACATATTTTACATGCTTTGAAAGAAAAAATGATTTATTTTTTCTAAAAAAAAAAACTCCCGCCACAAAATATAGGCCCTCACATAGTGCTTTTGATATGTATTTTAATCATGGACGTTTAACTGAATATAGTTAGATTGGCACTGTAGAATCCAAATTTACATAAACATTTTTCGTTCTATGGTCTTCGCACAAAGAGACTATTTTTGTGAGAAGATAAAGTCGTAACAGTTCATAATATCAACTGAATCCATTTATTGGTGAAGACAGTAGCTGACTTTGTAATTCAAAGATTTTAAATTATGAGATATTTCGAATCTTATTACAGAAAGATTAGCATGTTTCTCGTCTTTTAGCTTTCCATGATCATCAAGAAGTACATCAAAAAAAGGAAGAAAGATCTCAGAAGGGGCCTTGAGATCAGCAGGTTACTGGATCATTGGAGAAAAGAAGTTGATTTCTAAAATGATACATCATTGTCTCACCTGCAGAAAATTACGTGCTAAACCTTTAGAGCAAAAGATGGCTGACCTCCCAGATGACCGTTTGACGCCTGCTCCGCCTTTCACCTACGTTTGGGTCAATGTGTTGGAGGAATCGGCCAACGACGCAGAAAAAATTATAACATTGCAGGACAGACACAAAATTAGTCGACCGACGAAAAAAGAGGTAAAAATATATAACGGCCAACTGGCCCAAAAAGCGTCTGCCGTTGGTCGTTTTTTCGACATGAGACTGGCGTTTAACCCCTTCTCATACCACTGAATGAAATCAAATAAGACTTTTTTCAGATTTTATTACGTAGTGTCATTGTTACCTCCATTTTTTTTTGATCCGACACATATTTTGGGTTTCACATAGCAAAACATGGACACTGCCAATCTTACATTATATTGAATGGTTTCCATTTCTTATTTACAACTTCTATACCATTGAATAAGATTTAATGATGCTTTCACTGATTCTTTATTAATAACGTAATGCAAGTATGCATCTACTATTTTACTTTTTGATCTAACACTTACTTCAGGTCATTCAGAGCAAAACTTGCACAATGCCATTATATTCATATGGGAGGTAGGTGGAATCATTTAGTGAACTCAGCGGTCACAGTACCTCGTTATACTTATTTTGCTTACGGTTTCTCCCGTCTACTTGATCAAAACATAGGGCTTACATCGGATACATGTATGACCGTTCAACATAGGACGCTTACTCCTTTTGGGTACTTGATACCAACCCTGGACTTTTCGAGGGTTTGTGTGTTATGCACTGGCCACAAGTATATTGTTTATAGACCTTTTTAGATGATAAAAGATTTTTAACAGATGTTTAACTACTAGTATTACGTTACCTTAATTAAAAAAATAACCTTATGTGTTTACAAAATATTACAAACATACTTTTAACATCGCCGGAATAACATACAATTTCCACACTACCATTGGTTCTGCAGTTTCCAGGGGTAATCAAGTCAAATGTACACATTGAAAATGTCCTAGCCGATTCACTGCACCTAATATTGTTAACCAAATGCTCTTCATTTGAACTCCTGTTGCGTAATGAAGCTTGATATCTGCAAGAAACCAAATGCAATGATAAGCACTATTTTCATCATACGCAGTCTAATTTATCTGAAAGCTAATAGATGAAACAAGAGGCCCAGGGGCCACATCTCTCACCTGACCTAAGAAAAAGCACAAATCCGAATTGAAAAGGTTACTGAGGGGGTGGGGGTCTTGAATTCCAATACTACCTGAAAATGCCTCCATATCAATACTGCATATAACTTCTTGAGAAAGTTCTTGCAAATTTATTTTTTGAAATTTTCAACATTTTGTTTGTATATATTACTTTGTAATAATTTGAATTTGACTTCCCATTGTTTCCCACCGTACCCCGAAGGGTACTCATGATTTGCACAAATTCAAATCTTCGATACATGACGATGCTTACATGTCAATATGACTAATCATAGCTTTTCTATTATTCGGAATTTTCCCTTTATTTTCCTATTTAAAACTTTGATCAACCATTAAGACCCTTCCCTACCCTTGGGGGTTATGATTTGAATAAATTTAATTCTGCACTACCTGAGGATGCTTCCATATAAATATCACTAAACATGGCTTTGCTATTCTTTAGAAGATGATTTTTTTAAAAGATGATTTAATGTCAAACTGGGATCCCCCATCTTATCACTGGGGGTTATGATTTGAACAAACTAGAATCTACACTACCTGAGGATGCTTCCATATAAATACATTGTATCACTAATCATGGCTTTGCAGTACTTGAGAGGAAAATTCTTAAAGATTTCCCTGTATATTTCTATGTAAAACTTTAATCGGCCATTGTGGCCCCACCCTACCCCCAGGGGTCATGATTTGAACTTGAATGTATATTACCTGAAGATGATTCAACACGAGTTTCCTCTTTCCTGTCTCCATGGTTCTTGAGAGGAAAATTAAAGATTTTCCCTATATATTCCCATGTAAAATTTTGATCGGCCATTGTTGCCAAATTCGGGAAACTTCTTCAATAAACTCTATGAAATTCTGTTTAAACCAAGGAACAGAAGAAGCATAAGCCTTGTAATTGTATGAATTGGAAAATACAATTTTAAGTGGTAGCAAGTTTGAATCGAACTATGGAAGGTCTGCAAATAAACATGTTATAGTTAGAGATCTTGTCAAAAGGGTCGTCAAATGTGATGTGCGCTTCACTGTTGCGGAACTAATAGAGCTACGCGGTAAAGAATTTGAAAACACTGAAAATTTAGTTCAAGCTATGTCATGTATTAGCATAATTGTTAACAAACTAGGTGTTAAGTGTTATAAATCCAATTTTTTTAATGGAGAAGACGCTACAAACCGTATATTAAATTAAAAAGCAGAGTTATTGTGAGAACCTTTCTCAATGTTTGTTTTGACGTTACTATGTCACAATGTTGGTTAACTGTACTCTGTGGTAATAAAACATATGGTTTTAAAAGTTGGCTAACATGATTTTTATTTAATCAAATGGAATGAAACTTCACACTTCGACAAAGTAAATGTTTTTATTTACGAAAATGTGCTGATCTATAATCTTGAAATAATCGTATAAAGATGAGAAACATTGTTTACGTATTTTTTGAATGACCCTCGTATAGAACCTAATTCAATGCATTGTTACGTCTCACAAATTCCAGAACATTAAAAAATATTAATAAAAGTCGAAGTAAATATTTTTTTTTTCAGAAACATCAAGTCATACAATGTATCAATTACAATTGTAAATTCAGTAATTTTTTGTTTTAAATAAAATTATCTCCAATTTAAGAAACATCAACTCGATATGCATTTCAGGTTCTATAAATAGTACATCAACTATATGCTGTTAAATACTTAATCATGTGATCAAGTTTGAGCCAATCAGAGAGCTTGGAATAAATAATAAAAATAATATATATATATATATATATATATATATATATATATATATATATATATATATATATATATATATATATATATATATATATATATATAGAATTTCTTGTCGCTTTACTTCAACTTGAATAAATTAAAAATATATATATTTACTTGAACAATGTTATCCTTCATTGAGGACAGGATAAAAAAAGGCCACAGAAGTCGACAGAGAAAAACTTATTAATTCCTCAGATAGTGACAAATCGGATACCCCAATATTACCACTGGTAACTATCTTCAATCCAAAGAACAAGAATATTACCCCTGCAGTGCGTCACCTCAACAACATTCTACAGACTGATGAGAAAATGTCCGAAGTATTGGAAAAATATAAATTCATCAATAGTAAAAGACGCTCTAAAAACCTCCGGAGAATATTGTGCAAATCCGTATTTCAACAACGGAATTCATACATGGTCAATAAATGCTCTGATTCACGTTGTGGAACTTGCCGATATAATAAAGAGGGAAGTAATTTTTCACTCGGAGATAAAGCATTTACCATAAATGCAGATATAACTTGTGCATCAAAAAACCTGATTTACTGTAAAACATGCGCTGGATACGGAAAATTATACATAGGCGAAACGGGAACCGCACTTCGAAATAGAGTACACATACACAGACAACATATCAACCAACCCGAGTACAGAAAAATAAAACTCAGTGAACATCTTGCTGTTTGTGGACAGGGGCAATTCTCAGTTAATCCATTTTATAAACTCAAAACAGAGAATATTTCAGAAAGACGGGAAAAAGGAAAACATTTTATCAAGATTTTTAAACCGTCCTTAAATAGTTTAAGACTGTTTCATGACCAGTGTATAAAAAGTGCTAATCGAAAATCTACTTGATTTGGGTCACTATCTATATTTTGTTGGATCATTCGAAATTTCTGTCTGCACATTTAGACAAAAAATGTCATTTATAAACGTTTTCTTACTAATAATAAAACTGCTTCGACTAATCTCGTATGAGACTTCTTCTTGGTATATTTAAAGATTACCATATTTTTGTGTAATCTATCCCTCCTAAAACGTCGGTCTGATTATGCAGTGTGATTCAGTGACAGATAAATGGTTGTAAAAAGGGCATAATAATCCCTTTATTTGCATAGTTAAGTTATATACAGTTGTTATGCAAAAGCAAGTAAATTACAATTTAGTTCTATGACATTGCCTAGTCAGTGAACTTTCTAGTCCCAATTATGTTGACATTAAGTTACTTTTATTAACTGTTGATTTAAAGTCCTAAAATGTGATTGTATCTTATATTGTATGACTTATGATAATATTTGATTGTTTTGATCTGTTTACATGTAATTTGATGCTGATTTTCATTTAAAATATTTTTCAAATTTAATTGAAGGGGATGTAATATAATGACATGAATAATCTTATGTATGACTTAATTAGTATGCAAACTATCTAATGTTTAAAGTCTGAATAAATCAGTTTCCGGTTGCATCATCATGGTGTTCTAATCTAGTCATTACACTCACCTTCAGCGTTTTATGCTCAGGGTGATACATATGTATTTATAAAAATTAAAGAAAAAGTAGTGGCTTCTTGGTTAGTTCCTGAGGTATGAAGGAGATTGCAAACATTCTGAACATTTTATAAATGTTTCTTTTTTTCTAATGGAAGCAACTCTGAGTTTTTATTTCGTTATAAAATATGTCAAGTTCCACTTTTTCATTTCGGAATAAAGGATGAATCCAGCAAGAAATTCTCCGAGAAGGGAGAAGGGTTACATTGTTGTCGATAACACTAAAAAATCCAAACAAGAAAAACCTACTTTAACGTTGGGGAGGGGGTCAACTTTTGATGGACTAGCTAGATTCTTCCATATTCTCATTTTTCCAATCAACTTAATATGAGAATCATTTAACAAAAACATGCCAAAGTAAGAATTTTTATGTCGCTTACCAATTTATCATTATTAAATCTAAATTACAATTCTAAAGATCGATTTCAACTTTTATACTTTGCATATACATATGGTTTTGTAAATATTTGGTGATTTATATGTGCAGTTAAAGTTTGATTTGAAAATATAATGATTAATACGCATTCTTTTTCAAATCTTAATGTCGCTTCATTCATTTACAAATTTCAATTTAGCCATATGAGCGTCATGAAGAGATTGCATGGAATATTAAAAAAAAATCATGTAATAAAAAGAAAGCAAGCCATATTTCTCGAAGAAATGCATGGATCTTTTTCATACAAGTCATAGATGGCTGAAAATCAATTAACTTCCAAAACTATTTTGAATTTGTCCTTTTATCGCAGAATCACGTTAAGAGTTAACATTTCTTGGGGGTGGGGGTGGGGGTGGGGTTCTAGAGTTATTTTCATATATTTATTGTTCTTAATAATTTTAGTGAATTTGAAAAAAAAAATTATCTGGTCTTGATCCCTTGACCTATTTCCGCTTTGGTGGATCTGTCTATGGGGATAATGCCAAATTTTAATTAAACTTTAATCTTCATAGAGTCTGTTTCTGATTCCAAGTTTTAAGTTCTGATGTCTGATGATAATGTGAAAATAGGTCAAATATAACAAAAGTTGCATTATTATCTTCGTATTATATTATAAATTTATGAAATAGAGAGAGAGCGTATAAGGCGACAATCGCGAGGACAAGTTTTATTTTTCTAAAATTATGTTGTCAGTTATGTCATCTTCAACATATTTGATTCATCTATTTTACTGAATGAAATATTGTTTAAAAATTATTTTTTAAGAGCATATCCGAAAAATGGGTACGTTTATGAATATATTAATTAGATCTAGCAATAAGAATTTATTTCTTTTTATTATTATTCAGTTTCTATTCTAGAGCTTGCGTTTAAATGACGGAAAAGTAAATGTAAAATCCATTGTATGTTTTTTTTTTTTTTTTTTTTTTTAAAATGGAGTCTGAACCCATTCTATTTGAAAATTTTTAGAATTTAAAAAAAGTGAGGATAACGAGCATTGATTGATATCGAACATCTTCAAACAATACAAATATTTGAGCATGGCATAAATACGGACCCCCGGAAATATCAGAAGAGGGAACAGGTGCCTAGGAGTAAGCATCCCTTATATTGATTGGTCACACACGCTGTGAGCGCAATGTATTGATCAAGTAAGCAAAGCATTCTGTAATCAAATTTAGTACAAACGGCCTAACAATTGGATGAAAGAAGTAAGTCAAAAACGACTCAGTGGTAAATTAAATGATAATGGAAAAACATTATTTGTCTCAACAAATTCGTTTATCCAGAACACACTAACACACAATAACAAGAAGACGTCGTAGCATATAGTGGTTAACGCATTCAGTCTTACGACTATCATGAGCTTTGAAGAGAGTTCGAATCGTTCGTGAAGCTCTTTTTGTTTCTTTTCACATACCTTTAAAACATAAGTGAAAATATATATTACAAGTATTTATCAATAAGTCATTAAATGACATAAACTTGAGAAAGTGTTTCTTAATTATACTCCCCTCTATACCTCCATTCTTCAAGAAGTATACTGAAGGCAAATCAAACATAGCATTTTCGTATCAATCGCGACAAAATACAAATCAAGTATTGCACATACACCAGCAATGAAAGCATATTTCACCAAATTCTATAATTATTATACCCGCACTTTCTAAAGAAAGTTCGGGTATATTGTTGTTACTCATGTCCGTCCGTCCGTCCGTCCGTCCGTCTGTCACACTTTTCTTCCCTGAACTCCTCCTACATTTTACACAGTAGCTTATTCATCTTTTGGGAGATGGTTGGTGGTGTCATGTAGATGTGCAGTAAAGTTTCGGAATTTTGATTTTGCCCCGGGGGGTCAAATGGGGGTCGAAAAATGACGTTTTTTATGCAAAAAGCCCCGTCTTCCCTGAACTCCTTCTACATTTTACACAGTAGCCTAATCATCTTTTGGGAGATGGTTGGTGGTGTCAGGTAGATGTGCAGTAAGGTTTCTGAATTTTGATTTTGCCCCGGGGGGTCAAATGGGGGTCGAAAAATAACGTTTTTTATACAAAAAGCCCCGTTTTCCCTGAACTCCTCTTACATTTTACTCAGCAGCCTAATCATCTTTTGGGAGATGATTGATGGGGTCATGTACATGTGCAGTAAGGTTTCGGAATTTTGATTTTGCCCCAGGGGGTCATATGGGGGTCAAAAAGTGACGTTTTTTATGCAAAAAGCCCCGTCTTCCCTGAAGTCTTCCTTAATGTTACTCAGAAGCCTAATCATCTTTTAGGAGAGTTAAATATTTTGAAAATTATGTAAAACATCAACGTCAAGGGGTAAAAAAGTATCGCATGCTGGGAAACACCTTGAATTCTTATGAGTAATTAATGTACATGTCAAATGTGAGAGTCATATCTCATCTCAATCAAAAGTTATAAGCAAATGCAACATTTTTGAAAAGTAGGTTAGGCTTGACCGCTTCAAGGTCAAGGTCACAGAGTAAAAGTCATGATTTATTTGGAAAGGTCTTATCACAGGTAATAATATACATGCATTATGATATGAATGCCCTAACTTTTCTCTTTCAAAATGATGAATTTATAACAATTTAATTTTTTTGCAAGTAGGTCAAACTTCTAGGTCACATGTAAAAAAAAACCCATGCCATTCTCACAGGTAAATACTAATACATAAATTTAATATGAATGTCTCTTCTCATTCAGTAGATATGACCGTGATGACCAAGGTTAAATTTATTGAGACAGATGGACAGTCTGACATACAAATGTACATATTTCTATATGAATTGGGTAAAATTGGCCCAGTGGTTCTAGAGAAGTTAAAAAGGTAAAAGTTTTTCAGACAAACAGATGGACGACACGTTACGACAGACGTTATATGCTAAGGAAACCAGAAAAGCTCAAATGAGTGTTTTGAAAGGGTTACAATATGGTTGCAGTATTTGAAAAACTGTTTTTTTCATGCAGAGATATGCATGACCAACATATTCATGTTTATATTTTCTTTAGTAATTTGTTTGTTTGTTGTGAATACATCTCTCTTGGGAATTGTTCCCTTATATGGAGACACCACCAAATAATAATGAAGACAATATGTGTTTATGAAACACTGATGTCCCTGTATGGAAGCCTATGGCGAAGGTTGAAGTTTCTCAAATATATGTCAAACTCAAAGATCAAGGTCAAAGGGTTCAAATTGTTAGTATCAGAAGAAAGTCTTGTCACAAGGAATGCACATGTGAAATAAAGAAATCCCTGGTAATTCCTGTTCAAAAGTTAATTGCCAAGGTTATTTTTTTTTTAAGTGGTTCAAACTCTAGGGTCAAGGTCAAACATATTTATACCTGTTGACAGTTCACAATGAATACACATGTTAAGCATGAAAGCCCTAGCACCTACTGATCAAAATTTAGGCCAAGTTTAAAGTTTGGTATTTTTCTTCTAAAAATTTGTATCCTAGGTCAAGCGATCAGAGGTAAAAATTAATGGTACCCAAATAAAAGGTCTTAATTGTCACAAGAAATAAACCTATAAAATGTGAAAGCCATTTGTAAAGCCCATCCCACTTAAAACTTATGGGCAAGGTTATAATTTCTGCAGACAAATAGACAGACATAATATAAACACAAGAAACAAAATATGTATAATTAATCAAATGGAAAAAAATATACTTTTTAATTGGAATCACAAAATAGATTGTTATTTCAGGGACAGGGAGTGGGTAGGGAGATTGGAATCACCCCCCCTGGAATTTGCTTTGTTATTTAAACAAGACTATATACTGAGGCAAATAAAAAATGACTTTGGACATCCTCCCCCTAACTTAGAAAACATTGACCACACTATCATTGTTTTTATTTTGTTTATTTGTTTTCAGTTTTTTTTTTCTCCTGCTTGTCAGGAAATTCTGGGCTGGAATTTTTTGACTGAGATGTGAACCCCCCTCCCTACTCCCGAAAAAAAAAATCTGGATCCGCACCAGTATTGGCAGTAACTGAATGTCACATCGACAACGGGAGATAACTTCACAACATGAAATTCGTCTAGTGTGGCTTGAGATGATCTTTGACCCTTTTTGAACTTTAACCTAATCGTTTGGGTTTATTTTACCCCCCACTATACTTAAACTTGTACTCACCGACTGCCATAGGTCTCGTCAACTTCATGAAATATAAATCCAATTATAACACAAAATGAATTAATCCAATGCACACCAGACTGTAGCCATGTGCTAATTCCATTTGGCAAACCTTCGTCGATTCCGTCACCTTATCAGATGAAGTGGGAATCGGCCGAGGTGTGCCAAATGGTGTTTAATCTAAAAATATGATAATGGGTGACGCAACGTGATGTGATGTAGAAATTTACATGTTAACATGTATAGTACAAGAACAAATTTTAAATTAATTCATAACAAACGATGTTTTAACAAAACTTTTCCATCTAGCCTATTCCAAAAAGTATGTGCTGTGTGATTGTGGTGTCGAGGGGGGGGGGGGGATTAGTAAATCTAAAAAGGTCCTATTATGAGCAAAACATTTATCAAAATCTAATTTACATCATTAATAGAATTCAAACTGGTATATAATGAATTAAGCATGTAAAATAAATATAAGAGGTTCTGAGTTATAGGTCACAGGGTCTGAGAATTTCATACTCAATTTGATGAATACATGTAAATTATAGAATTATTTTGACTTTTTCCTTGGAAAGCCGCCCAATATGTAGGAGCGTGTATTTAGAGGCAAACACCTTAGTGCGGGTATTACTGTCTCATGACAGCATCTAGTTTATTCCTGTTTTACTTCATTCGACTAATAAATGCTTCTCTTGTGATTATGTATGCCAATGCTTTTTCGAAACTGTTTAAATCACAATATCTTTTATCAAAAAACAATAAATCTTAATTTCATGCAAATCACAAAAAGGATCCGAAAAAAATGTTGCCATCGCAAAAGTATGCTGCATACTATATTATAGCATTGACTCAAAAGAAGTATAGCCCAATTTCTTTAAAAAGCTTAATTTATAGAAATCAGATGATTTGTCGTTGGTAAATAGGGGAGAAAACTTAAATACAATCACTTTCACTACAGAATATCGTTTGAAACAAGATGTGTTTGTGAAACACTATGCGCCCGGTGGCAACAAAGTTCAAAAAACTATTTTAGCAGATGAGTCATAGTCAAGGTCACAGGGTCATTGACCTTAGTGTCATTTGAAAGATCTTTATTCGTAAACTGTGCATACCAAATATGAAGTTTCTATCTCTCATGGTTCAAAAGTTATGGCGAAAACTCGAAAAAGCTATTTTAGCTTATAGGTCACAGTCAGGGTCACAAGGTCATAAATCTTGGTGTCATTTGAAAGAGCTTCATTGGTGGAGTATGCATACCAAATATGAAGTCTCTATCTCTCTTGGTTCAAAAGTTATGGCGAAGATTAAAGTTGACAACAGACAGACAGACAAACAGATAAACAGACAAACAGACAAACAGACAGGACAAAAACAATATACACCTCGGATCTATCGATCCGGGCGCATAAAAATTATGAACATTTGAAATAATTCAAATTCAGCGAAAATCCTATATTAACTTACTAAATGAGAACGGTATCGAATTTCTAACAGGTTTTCATTTTAAAAATTACTCAAAGAAATCTACAATGATACTATAAAGGTTGAAGAAATCTGTACAGGTGATATGCCTAATGTAGTTCATGCAGTGATGAACGCAATGGGTTTTCTTAAAAAATAAAGAAGAAAATATTCAGTGGATGTAAATATTACGCTATGAATGATGGTATCTTACTTAGAAACTATAATTTGTTTCCTCTATCAACATTGTGACTTCATTGCATTGTTGTTGACTTTATCATCAAGTAACGTTATAACATGACATGTTTGAATTGTTTTGAAATGTAAAACGTCTGAAGAAGTAATGAAAGCGCTTACATTTTACGAACATTGTTGCCTTGTCATTTTTTATTCTAATACATATATATGCGAGCTTACCCAGAGTAACCAAGGCTTTTGCAAAGAAATTTTGTACTTGAATCTTGCCAGCTATCCCTGCACAATGTTCTCCAAGAACCATTTATTAATATTTTAGGTATTACAACAATCTTCTCTTGTGCAAAGGTTTCCTGCGCAAATCTTACAATATCTGAAAGAAATAAAAGAAAGCTTTAACGTCTTTCAATTGTTCAAGCCATTCTATATAAATAAGAGGTCTTAATATGCGAGTTTCGAGATTGTAACTCTCCTAAGACAGAGGCACAAAAAGTATTTCAATCAGAATTGAAGTAAAAACAGGTTGTTTTGTATACAAGCATAAAAAAAATAAATGAACGATGTTTACGGCTTTTAAAATTCATTTAATATTATAGAAAGGTAATAATGTTAAACAGTGATGCATTTGCTGGTTTAATTAAGCTCAACTATGCATATCTACAAATCTACTTTCAATTAGGATACTCGAAAAAGTACGAAAGCCGGATGGGCTCATTTCTGAAAAGATAAAAAAAATATTTAACTCGTTATAACGAGTTAATTGTCTCGTTATAATGACTTAGTTATCTCGTTATAACGAGTTAGTATCTCGTTATAACGAGTTAATTATCTCGTTATAACGAGTTGATTATCTCGTTATAACGACTTAGTTTTATCTCGTTATAAGGAATTACTTGTTTCGTTATAACGAGTTAGTATCTCGTTATAACGAGTTAATTTTCTCGTTATAACGATTTAGTTTTCTCGATATAACGAGTTAATTATCTCGTTATAACGAGTTAATTATTTAGTTATAACGAGTTAATTATCTCGTTATAACGACTTAGTTTTCTCGCTATAACGAGTTAATTATCTCGTTATAACGAGTTAATTATCTCGTTATAACGAGTTAATTATCTCGTTATAACGAGTTAATTATCTCGTTTTAACGAGTTAGTTTTCTCGTTATAACGAAATAATAAGTTGCCCCTTTATTTCCAAATTTAATAGCAATATAGGAATTAAAATTGGCTGTAGTTTTAATGTCAATAGACCAGTTTTTAACTCGTTATAACGAGAAAAATTAACTCGTTATAACGAGAAAATTTATTTGTTATAACGAGATAATTAACTCGTTAAAACGAGATAATAAGTCATTATAACGAGATAATTAAGTCGTTATAACGAGATAACTTACTCGTTATAACGAGATAACTAAGTCGTTATAACGAGATAACTAACTCGTTATAACGAGATAATTAACTCGTTATAATGAGATAATTAACTCGTTATAATGAGATAACTAAGTCGTTATAACGAGATACTAACTCGTTATAACGAAATACTAACTCGTTATAACGAGATAATTAACTCGTTATAACGAGATACTAACTCGTTATAACGAGATAACTAATTCGTTATAACGAGATAATTAACTCGTTATAACGAGTTAAATATTTTTTTATCTTTTCAGAAATGAGCCTATCCGGCTTTCGTAAAAAAAGAAAGAACTTATAGAAATAAAATGCTTCCTTGATTGTGCAAACCTTTAAGAAAAGAGTAAGTGCGACATTTAGATTGCCACCCTACGAAAGCCATGAAGGGACACGTCGATTTCTCAAAAAAGTACAAATTAATTTGAGATCTCGAATTACAAAAACCGTTCCCACGGTTTATCAATTCGTTCCCTCGGTTTATAATTCGAGATCTCGAAATACACAAAGCGTTCCCACGGATTATCAATTCGTTCCCTCGATTCATAATTCGACGAACCCACGGATTACCAATTCGTTCCCTCGATTCATAATTCGAGATCTCGAATTACATAATTCGTTTTCACAGATTATTAATTCGAGATCTCGATTTGTAACATCAGTCTAATGATTTTGGCAATCAGTGCTATTGAATCC